CTATTCAAGTGCCCCTTTTTCCGAGTCCGGGTAGTCGGAAGGGCATCCCTTCCGAACTCGGGATGGAATAATGCATTCAAGTGAATTTCGGAGCTGAGTGCTCGGTCCGAGCGCTCGGCGAAACTTTTCCGAATCCAAGTTGCGCTTTTACGAGCTGGAAATCCGAGGTCTAGATTCAAGTGCGTCTCATGGGATCAGTTTACGAGGAAAAATTTCCGACAAGAAACAGGTACTGATTCCGAGCCCCTGCCTTTCCGAGTGAACACTACACCCCTTACCAAAGAAGTATACCACACATATCACACTACAGTAGCCAACACTCAAACATCCTGACAGTCTGCCGTCCTCTAGGAGACCCATTTAGCACATCTTGAAGATCAAGATGACTATCGCATCTTCAAGATGCGCATCTCACAGCGCATCTTGAAGGTTGTGCTGCGCGTATCCACGAAACGCTCAATCGTCAATTGCTCGAGTGAGAGGTTTTCACGAGCTCGGGCAATTCAAGTAGAGATGCACTTGAACAGTTGGAATTGTGACCCGTACTCGGAAATCGGAGATAATACCCGTAAAATTAGGTCAAGCACTTGAATGGAGGATGTCTCGGAAAAGTATTCCCCGGACTCGGGGCCCGGTAAATTTCCCTCGGACTCGGAACCCGGAAACGAAAAGCACTTGAATAGGCCCCAGGAGAAGACCATACGGACTGCACCTTGGGCGGGGCTCGAACCCACGGCCACGGGCTTAAAAAGCACGCGCTCGGCCGACTGACCTACTGAGGCACACACTAAAAGAACTGGAAGTGCTGAGAGACCGTCTAGTTACAACTCTGCATCGCATCACCGAAAAATCAAATGGACTGCACCTCGGGCGGGGCTCGAACCCGCGGCCACGGGCTTAAAAGGCACGCGCTCTGCCGACTGAGCTAGGCTAGGGGCAAAAGCTCCTGACGAGAAGGGGGAAAAGGAAAAAGGAAGGAGAAGGAGGAAAAGAAGGAAGAGGAAGGAGGAAGAGGAAGAGGAAGAAGGGAGAAGAGGAAGGAGGGAAGAGAGGGAGATGAGAGGGAAGAAAAGAAACGAAAGAGAGAAATGGATTCGCAACTCAAGACAGACAGTCCTACAGCACACATTCATGGACGAGTATCATTCATTGGTTCTTCATTTTTGCTTCTTCTAGCTTCTGCTTTTTCCGTGCCCTTTTCGCCTTGTCCTGCTCCTGCCTCCTCCTCTTTCTATCCGCTTCATACTCCTTGAGTATTTTGGGGTCATCAGCGAATGGACAGAAACATATACCGCGGCCTATGAAACTGTGGCTCATCCCTTTGTCCTTGCTCTGCCACAGCTTCGAACATACAGTGCATATCTTCTTTCTTCCGTCAGCCATGGATGCGGGGTCATCCGGGGACATTCCGAGCTCTTTAAGCCGGTTTGCTGCACGCTCCCTTCTCTCCTTCATCCCTTCTTGTTCATCGACGCGCTGCTGACGGGCTTGCTTGGTACGCTGTCCGGCAGGCGGAGCTTCAGGACACTCACCATACCGCCAAGCCCTCGCAGTATAAACATGGGCATTCTTACCATAAGCTAGAGGCAACTTGCAGTATGGGCACATGTATCGTGAGCTGTTGGCTGGTTTTGCAGACGTGCTTTCCGTGGAGCTATTTGCTCGCTCCTCTAGCTTCTTATAGGACCGCTTTTCCCTTGTACCATCGGCCTTCTTTGCTGATTTCTCATGACAGCGTTCCTGAATCCGCATTTGAGCGGTAATGACTGCTGGACCCTGAGTGACTTCTGACTGTAGTATGGGTATCTTAGCCGGAGTAGATGCCTGCGGGAAACTCGCCGCGGCAGCTGCACTGCTAGTAGCCAGGGTCATAGCCACTTGCTCGATGGTTTCGGCACAAGCCGCCGTGTAATTACCGAGCTCGTAAGGGGTATTCGCGAACTTCAATTGCTGCCGGATCCACTTATCTGCGAGGCCATACGAGACGTCGAACAAAGGCTCGGACTCCGGGAAGCACTCTCGAAGACGGCCGAGCCGCCAAGTTTTGTAGCTTCTCAAGCACTCACGGATGAGAGCCGTCCCAGTGTGCTTTATACCTTTCTCAGCTAGTATTTCATTCCACTTTTGCTCCATCACCGAATTGAAATCAGGCGGCACACATGAAGGAGCCGTGGGGTTCAGTAATGCCTTCTTACGGGGTACATTTCGAGATTGTCCGGTGGGAAGTCCATCAAATAGATCGCCAGAGACCGATTTCATTTGTTCTTCGAGTTCCCCCGATGTGGTTGGCAGAACGACGTCACAAGGAACACTTTGTGAAGAGGATTCCCGTGGCAACGGCGAGGGGGCTATACCGCTGTCCATACGAGTCGCCCCTGCGATAAACGCGTCGCATAGGCGGAACTCATTCGCAAGAACAGACCGGTCATGAGGGTCCTCTGGTATTCCACCAGTGATCCCAGGTCCATCAGTGCCTGAGGGGGTTGAGGCATATTACTGATATGATATCAGTCACACGTGGCATTGAAGATACCCTAAGTCCTGCAACTCCTCAGCCGCATGAGTATTCTCCTCGAATGCTGATGTGCCGTCGTCTTCACACTCAAGGGGATCTGTTACAGCGTTGACCTCGGGATCGTCAAGGTCAATCTCATCTGGGATATCGGGAGAGTGCCCAGTTATGGCGGACGCATACTCGAAGCCGCACAGTGGCAAGTCGGAATCATCAGTTTCGGGCGCCAGTCCCCAGCCCCCATATAGATCCGTGGCTTCAAGGATCACAACTTCCTTGGGGGACAGATGTTCTGGTGGGCAACGACCACCAAGATCAGTGATGCGCCGTCGGTTGTAACGGGATATGAACCAACTAAGCCGTATTGTATACAGCATTTTCCCAACCCTTGTTGTTGGGGCCATGAACCTGGCCAAGCTGGAGTGCAGCGCCTCACAGCGTGACGATCCGCGCACGCTGCGGACTTCTTGTAGTTGTATTCCGCTGTTACGATAGTTGATAGTACTTGTGGACACGAATGGACACTTAACAGCTTTGACTTCTCCTTCTTCGCCGTCGCCAGATTTTATAGCATCGGCATCATCGCCGACGCAATTATTCAATATATGAACTAATTGTTGTCTCAAGCACCGGAGAAACGGTGTGCTGATGAGTCTAGCTCCCACTTCTGAGGGCATCACAGTGTTTGTTGATTGCCCAGTTGCCGCGAGTGCCGCAATGGCCTCGTCATCTCGCTTGAGATGAGCTCGGACAACTTCGACCAGCCTAAGGTGGGTTCTATCGAAGGCGAGGAACGCTAGATAGTACGCTTAAATTCATCGATTTCACTCAAACGCAGTTCTATAGCCTACCTTTTCGCAGTTACCCCTGACCACAGGCACCCCGACCACAGGCTGCGCAGGAAAATGGAATACCTCCTGAGCTACCGAGGCACACGTCGAAGTAACTGGAAGTGCTGAGAGACCATCTGATTACACCCCTAGATCAGGTTAGGAGAAGATCAGACATGCTCCACCTCGGGCGGGGCTCGAACCCGCGGCCACGGGCTTAAATGGCACGCGCTCTGCCGACTGAGCTACCAAGGCACACATTAAAGCCTCTTGAAGTGCTGAGAGACCGTCTAGTTACAACTCTGCATCGCATCACCGAAAAATCAAATGGACTGCACCTCGGGCGGGGCTCGAACCCGCGGCCACGGGCTTAAAAGGCACGCGCTCTGCCGACTGAGCTACCGAGGTACACATTAAAGCTGCTTGGAGTGCTGAGAGACCGTCTAGTTACAACTCTGCATCGCATCACCGAAAAATTAAATAGACTGCACCTAGGGCGTGGCTCGAACCCGCGGCCACGGGGTTAAAAGGCACGCGCTCTGCCGACTGAGCTACCGAGGCACACATTAAAGCTGCTTGGAGTGCTGAAAGACCGTCTAGTTACAACTCTGCATCGCATCACCGAAAAATTAAATGGACTGCACCTAGAGCGTGGCTCGAACCCACGGCCACGGGCTTAGAAAGCACGCGCTCGGCCGACTGATCTACCGAGGCACACATTAAAGCTGCTTGGAGTGCTGAAAGACCGTCTAGTTACAACTCTGCATCGCATCACCGAAAAATTAAATGGACTGCACCTAGAGCATGGCTCGAACCCACGGCCACGGGCTTAAAAGGCACGCGCTCTGTCGA